AAGTTGACAAGATAAAATAATTCAACTAGATAATTTCTAAGAGAAAGGTGAAACAGCATACATTTAAATATCAACTTTTGTTTAAACCATTACATCTAATGCGAATGATTACGCAATCAGAAACACAAACTAATCAAAGCTTTCATAAGTTATCAGTTTAAGGGTTGTGAAGATTGTTAAGTTTTTGATTGAGATCATGAACCGACCATCAATGAAAACCTGGAAGCACTGGACGGCCGTTATGTCCTATTGTGGGACTCCGCAGCAGTGTTGTTGTATGCAAATTACAGTTCGATCAATTTTGTTTAATTTTAAATGTGAATAAATGCTGACTAACGTTTGTCACAGAGTGCAGTTATCTTCAATCTTGAAGGAAACATTACTGATATCATTTCGGATAAGAAACACTATCTCATTTGAGCAAACTAGTGTAAGTCAAACAAAATCGAACACTACAGAGAAATACTAGTCGAGAAAGATATTTCGGTGTATTTTAACAGTGTGACAACATATTGTTTAGATCAAAGTATACTCGATGTTTGTTACATACAAAAATACACACACACACAAATTCAACACAACGACCACTACTTTGTTAATAGTTTCAACGCTATTCTGATTAAATAACAAAGAATTGAAGTATGTTCAAATAATAGATACAACCTTCCATTAATATACAGATACGAATCATTTGAATAAGAGTGAGAGAGATAGAGAGAGGAGGCCAGTCAATCAGCTACAACGTAGGACCAGGCACATATATGCATCACTCCAAGTTACCATACTTCATTAGCATAATAAGATGAACACCAAATTCATAAAAGTAGTTAATTCAAGAGAGAGGAAGAGGAGGAGGAGGAGAGAAAGAATGAGAAAAAGAGAATAAGATGATATACTCTAAATTTGGGTAACACCAACGGTGCACACACACACACACAGGAAAACAATAGAGTTTAAGTTGTGAATTAGTCAAGCAACAAAAAAAAGTTATGATTATTGTATTAAGAATATGATCAAACTAGTTAAATTAATGGTTAGAATGTGAAATGTGAAATTACCATCTCTCATATATTTGAAATCTGGAGAATAATGTATCTGGAAAGAGTTGAAGAAGTTTTTTTTTAAAAAAAAACATTCTATGTAAACATTGAATTATGAAATGTGTGATAGAGACAAGCTTATAGGAATACTGTTATGAATGCAGAATAATGTGCCAATCATTATCATGCTAAGTCTAATGATTGCCTTGGACTCTAAATGGGCATTCCCTATTGGCCATTATTTATTTCACTCGTTAAATATTGTACAAATGTTATTTTCTATTTTTATGGTACGATGTGGTCTGTTTGGTTAGTATATAAACAGAGTATGTTTGAAATATAACGATTCATAACTCAGAGGCTGTGACTTGCGTTCTAGACTCAACTGGCTGGGCTAGACAGGGAATCGGGACTCTAGGTCGTCCATACGTGTTTACGTCTCACTGATTCGATCGATAAATACGCTGCTCCATCTAACCTGCAGTCCACCCGTTACAACAAATACATAGAATATTGTTCAATGAGAATAGATTACATTCACTAAGATGGATAAATTCATTAATTTCAATTGGTTGAAATCATGAGTCAATTGAAGCTAGACTATCCATGGAAAACCTGGAAGCAATGGACAGTCGTTTCGTCTTATTTGTGGGACTTCTCATTAATTGTAAAGCTTTCATTGTAAAAGTAGATACTAATGAATTTTATTTTACAAAGTGATAATAAGTAATGCAATACAATCAAAATTAACCGATAATGAGGAGTATTTTATGTACACTATAACCTTAGTCGATTGTTGATGTTAAGTGATATATAATTTAGAATCAATCATAATTACGGCAAAACATTTACTCATTATTTCAGTCTAGATCTTGAGTAACCATGTAGATGTATACATACTTTTGCATTCTATCGTCTTTTACTATACTCAAAATAATCTATCTCACTTCAGCATTTTTACTATTCAGCTCGTTAACATCAAACTTAGAGGAAGTCAGGCTGGTTTCACACCTAGACATAGTAAAAAATAGATCAAATCGTCACTGTTCTTCAGATCTCTGAATATAGAGTGAGTAAACCATCCAACAGTTCTCTACGTATTACACACTGTGGTTATGAAACATGATCTAAAGATGTTCAAGGCATGTATGGGTTGGAAAAGTTTGATCGTAGGGGTCTTTGAAGTATTCATCGAGTATGTTGAGACTATCAGGTGACCAATACTCTGGTTAGATGCAGGTTGCAGGAAAAGACAACTAATCAATTAGTGAAGTTCGAAACTTCTAAATGAAGTGGTTGATACATGTGTAACGTGTTTCTAATTAACGCCTACATGAACAGACAATGTTAGTTGTAGTATGAATTATTCGGAAGAAGTCTTAAAGTGACGAAACAAAAACATGACATCAATCTATGAAATCATCGACTGTTGGACTAAACTATATTAGTAGATTCAAATTACTTCAGTCAGTGGTTGAAAAACACATAAGTTCACAGAGTTCAAGTTGTAAGACTATCGAAAAATAGCATAGGTAGTAACAGTACTAAACGTAATAGGAAAGGTTACGCACTGAAAATACAATTCGAGAAGTAAATGTAAATTAGTGAGATAAAAACGGGGAAAAATTCGAGGCAAGACAAAAAATGGATGCATCTGTGTCATTCCAAACGATTTTGAGCAATGTCATTCAAAGTCTCTAACCACCGCTTACGATCATCACACTGACAACAACCAGGTAGTCTACACCTATTAGCATGGTTAAGTCTAATTGTCAGTCACTTCACGAATTGATGTCATGTTTTGGTTTGACTAACCCTAACGTTCATCAAGCCTAGTCCTACACCATAAAACATCGTCTGTCATGGTAGGTGGTGGTTGAGCATACGTAACACATGTCTCAACCACCTCAGTTGATCAAAGTTGGACATGAAGCAACTGTATTCGACATCTAGTGAAGTGTAGCTGTCACAAAATAAATCTAAAGTGATTATGATACTTTTTGATCCGACTTGTAATGATTTAAATCCTTACATTGATGGTATGTACTACAACTGATTAGTCTCACTGTCCTGTTCGCCACTATTCAAACATTGAATATGATATTATTGTATTCAACACACAAATTAAACAAGAGTATATACGTATGTAAAGAGTAGGACAGCTGTGTAGTTTAGAATCTTTGTAATTTGAAATGAAAAGTTTCAGTCCAGTGATGGATAGTTGAACTTTCAACTGGAAATTATCATAGACGTCATATTCAATGAACTATGTGCAAAAACTAATATGACATTATGTTTTAACAATATTAAATAAAAGTAGATCTGGTTGATGATGGAGGATATAAGAAATGATTATTTCTAATAAGATGAACAAGATTTGATCGTTTGATTATGGGCATGTTATTTATCGTTCCGCTTTTCAATTGATGCACAGATTGGATTTGCAAACAACAACCTCAACCTCATAGTCTGTAACCCGAATGTAAAGCTTCTAAAAATTTCCAGTTAAAAACATGCCTCTGTATATGATGATGATGATGATGATGGTGTTGTTAAGCGATAGTTGTATTCAACTGAGTCCCTAGCTTAAATGTCCATTTGTCCCAATTTCCACATAACATTAATACAGAGATTAAATTTATTAAGGTTGAAGTCCAAGGAAAAGAGATACAAGAATTAAACGTATGGACTTTTTTAAAGGGTCGGAACCTATCAGAGAAAAAAGGCAATGAATGCTTTTGTGTCAATATAACGAAATCGAAGGATGTTATTCAACATCTCCAATCACTTCATGGACTAATCCCATGTTTTCGTCTGACTATATCTAGATCTCCTCCAAATTACTTCAACGAAACCAGACATAGCGCATTCAAGAGTGTCATTGCAACTGAACGTACTTGATTACTGGCCATAGGAATATGAATTGAAACATTGGTTAGAATACATTCAAATGAAGTAAATGTATGTATACAATGACAGGTTAAAGGTCAACAATAGTCAATCAAGATCGAGGTCTAAAGGACAAGCTGTAAGTCATATATGGAGAAATTCTAACACTTCACTTTTGCCTAAAGTTTGTACTGGTGATGTTATTCAGAAGAACAATGAAAGGGACGCGACTAAACCATTCAGCTCAAAGAACAAAACATATAAATGTATACACTATCTTTTAAATTATTTATCGCATTTATTCCACAGTGTATCGATTTCGTACTTTATATCATGCTTCACATCAATTTATTTTGATTACTTAGTTAAATGTGATGTAGTTTACAGTTGACTTGAACTGTCTTGTACAAGGCATTGATATAGTGTACTAAGTGAAATAGGACATTCAAATTTTCAAACCAATATATATCTCATAAATGTATTTGATTTATTGAGAACAGACAACTTAGCATCAATATAACGAGTCAATCATGGGCAATATAAAATCCCAAACTTATCAGCATGGTTTAGTTTAATAGTTAATGTATTAATAGACTGATTTTGAAGCTTTAGGTTTGATTTCACTCCTGTAACGGTCGTTTAGCTACTCGTAATAAATGTCCCAACGTAGATCAATAAGAGATGCTTAGTTTATCACGTTACAAATGATGGACATGAAAATGAATAGATCATTATTAAACAAGTGAATGATTATCGTAAAGATATCATAACAATAGTGGTCGTTTGAAGAAGTTGGTAAATTAATATCACATGGGTTTTGTGGATATTATAGTCATTTCAATGGTTAAGATCATGAATCAGTCGAAGCTAGACCACCATGGAAAACCTGGAAGCACTGGATGGCCCACAATAGGACGAAACGGCTGTTCAGTACTTCCAGGTGGTCTAGCTTCAACTGACTCATGATCTTAACCATTGAAATTAATATCGGTTAACCATCTTTTAAAAAATTATTAAAAAGAAGAACCAATTGATCCAACCATTAAAAACAAATAGTGTTTTTTTACTTACCGTTACAGTAGCTAGAAGACCTTCTGGAACATTAGCTACAATGATACCAATTAAGAAGATTACAGCTTCAAGCCAATGATAGCCCAAAATGAATGCAATAACAAAAAATGAAACACCAAGAAATACAGCAACACTTGTAATAAGATGAATAAAATGATTAATTTCTTTATTAATTGGTGTTTGACCAATTTGTAAACCTGAAGCTAAATTTGCTATACGACCCATAACAGTACGATCACCAGTACTAACAACTATACCACGACATGTACCTAAATATGAAATAGGATGTAAAAAAAAAGCAGAGAAGAGAAATAACTTATTTACATGTTGAATATCATTTTTGCTATACTTATCAGTAAAATTATAAAAGCAGATAAACGAATGAACTTACCGGTGGTAATTGCCCCCCAAATGCCTAGGTATGGTCGAAGGTGGGGAGAGTCCGCTCTCTCTCTCTCTAAATGCTTTCGCATGGCCACGTGCATACAGTTGTTGGTAGTGAAGTCCCACTCAATCCCTTCCAGCGATGGGAGTGTTTATGAAATTGAGAGGACGAAAACCGAATGTCTGGAGAATTAACCCGGTTGGTAGATATGGAGGATCCACCTAGGGGAGTTGGGAAACCCTATATACAAACCAACCAGGATCCTGAGGGAACAAATGGCACATGCACCCGTTGTCGGATACCAGTTATCATGAGACCGCATCTCCTAACGTTGCTTCGCTGTCTTGTGGATTAGACTTCTAGGTCAAACGTTTGGGGACTGCCCCCCTAAGAAAACCATTTGCTTCGGTTTGGGCATCCGGACAGTATTCCAGCCCTCACACAAATCGAATGACGAAGTGTGGCGTATATCTATTTGGTGCCTCCTTGTACCAATGTTTATGTGTTTAAATAAATAATTAAGTAAAACCGGTGGTAATTAATAACTTTAAAGCCAACGTGAACACAAAGAGAAAGGAGAGAAAAATGTAAGCCACGAGGTTACTGAGATGGACAGAATTCGTGTCATACGATTCTAATAATGTTAATAAATAAACTGGTTAATGTAACAGTTCCACTCCCTCCAATACAGTGTAGAAAAATATAATTAGTAGGTTAAACTATCATAATTGAAGTAATACCCTATAAAGTAACTAAAGATTCGACTTTCCGTCAACCTTAAACTCCTCCCCACCTACTCCGACTTGAGGAACTATGTTTCATACTTATCGTAGCTAAGTACACAAATATGTACATGGTAGGTGGGGTACGTGTGACACCAAAAGTTACCACATAAACTAATATCACAAAACTAGGAGGACACAATTATAGAGATTATTCAATATAGAAATAGTTTACACTACGAAAAACCGGTTTTAGTTGGACGAATATCGATACGCCTGTTGAATGAACACTTGATCCGGTTTGCAGACAGTTCAAATAACCTCAGGCTAAATCTGCACGGCAACTTAAACGCAGGAAAGGAAGAGAGGATTGCGATAAAAACGCTTTACTAGAAAGTCAGTTCATGTATAGAAAAATGAGGGTATTTACGGTTACACATGACCTTGAGCTTCTCAAAGTTTCTCGAATCATACTAAGAGTTGTAGCAGTATAGGTAAGTATCTAAACAGAAACGTGGCTCTTTACCTTCTGGATGTTTTCGAGAAGTTTATATTCAATGCTGGTTGGATAAAGTGCTTCCGAGAGTTTTCCGAGCCCCTATAGACTTTCCGAGGAGTACTTTGGAACCGTGGTAGATTGTGAAGGTGTGTTCATGCCGAATATAAAACTATTCTTCATCAAAGTGAATTTACAACCCTGTCAGAAATTAAGTCCTTCAACTTAAAGAACTATCAGCTAAGATCTGACACCCTAGACCATCGAGTTATCTATCACACTCAATGGGCAACTTATTAACAACTTCAGTCAATTCATGATTTAGTGTACTTAACTTGTAACATTACGGTTGAACTTCACCTATCAGAGAAATTAAGAGAGTTCTCAGGGTTGGTCTGTTTTTTGCTTAATATATCCAGCCTCCTACATTCGTGATTTTATATTCATTATATGCTGAATATTAACTAACCTAATTGTAATTTTACAGGGACACTAATTCCAACAAGTTTGCGTCCTCTTCGAACTACTGGCAGCTATAACTAGTTGGTCAATGAGTAGCAGTGACCAATATTATGTTCGTTTAGTTCTTTCAGTAAAACCCCATGCAATAGATCGAGTTATAATGCGGTTACTAATATCATAAGCACTATGTTTCAATGCTAAGTGGTTGGATATAGTCGGCAAGAAACCCTGTTTGACAAAGATTTCATTTTAGTCAACATTCATCAGTGAGCTGTAACCTATGATATTGGACGAATTGATTCTCACTGGGAGATTTGAATCCACCTTAGTCAAACTTCACAATCTGAGACCTTACCTCACTAAGTTATTGGAGTTATAGTTGCACATTGATCAATTTTGTGTATGTGAAATCAAACATATTTTAGGGATTAATTACTCAATATCAGTTGGTTAAATTCTTTGATTCTACTAATAATTATTTTCAGAAGAGGTTTTGTGGATATTATAGTAATTTAATAGTTGGATTCATGAGTCAAATGAAGTTAAACCATCATGGAAAACCTGGAATCACTGGACGGCCGTTTCGTCTTCTCAGCAGTGCGTATCCATGATCCCGCCTAACGAGATTCAAACCCAAAACCTATCAGTCTCGCGGGTGAGTGTTTAACCACTAGACCAATGAGCTTGCCAGCATTCCATGTTGTTAATGTGTAACTTCAACTAATCCACGAAATTAAGTGACATATCCACCATTTTCTTCAGTGAGTTACTAACTCACAACAGATCCGGTTGATCATTGCTTCTCATTAGAACTTTAGGGAAGTAGTAACCTCTTGAAGTTAGTCACTACTAGTGATCCATATCAGAAGGGGGGGTGAGTATTTTGTGGATGGATATGATAGTCATTTGTTCTGTTTTTCTTTTAATTATTTCATTAATTTATTTACTCATAGTAATTTTATTTATTCTAATAGTATAGTTAATCTATTCAATATGATTAAATGATTAAATAAACAACAAAAAAAGAAAAGAAAAGAAGATAAATTAGGTGTAATCTGAAATTTCTAAATAAACTTTGATAAACAAGTAAACAATTCTTACAAAATAATAATAGAAATAAATAGATAAACGATGATGCCAAATAGGATATATCAAGCATAGACTATGGATATATATATATATAGGGAGAGAGAGAGAGAGATCTATGTAACTACAGGGGGAATATGAGATCAAACTAATATGAGGATTAGAGTTGGTGTTTGGCTGTCAGTTTCACAATCACAGATCAATATATATATATATATATATATAACAGTAAACAAATTCATGCCTCCAAGCAACTGGTTTAAAATGTAGGTCACAAAAATAGGATAAAAAAAAACTACGCCTAATCTCAAGAATACATATAAATAATAGTTGTATTATTTCTAAGAGATTATAAAAGAAATTTAAATGAAATCCTCTAATGGTTTTAACTTTGAAATATAATTAGCATATGGATTGATTGGAAATCTTTTTAGTAAACAACAATCAACTGAGATGGATAGTGGCTAGCAATGGAATAATCTACAAAGCAAGTTTCGTCAGTTAGCTACCAGTTAGCACGACTAGGAACATATATACAACGGTCCAAGTTGTAATGCCTCGTTAGCATAACAAGATGAACACTGAATTCATAGAAGCAGTTAATTCAATGGTGGTAATATATACAAGAAAAATTGTATATAAGGATATAGTACAGGAAGAAAGAATTGCTTTGTAGAAAAAAAATATAAAGCGATTTTAATCTCATAGTTTAAAGGAAGACAGAGAAACGAGTTTCGTTCGAGTTCCAGGGTGAATATCAACTCCAGAACGTGTCCCAAGCAGGATGAAACACGCGTCCTGTATTTTACTGCTAACCAATTATAATGCTTGTGACTTAATATCAAGGCAATCCGTACAGGATGCACATACGTCAAAAAGAGACTGGTCAATTGCAGTCCAAAATGTCATAGGGAAGATTCAAACAACCAATACAGAATGAATAATAAACTGAAGTTGTATTTTGCTCTGAAAATGAAATGTCTGCACTAGTTGATAGTGATCAAGATTAGTTGAACATGATTTCTGCAGTGATTCATCTGAGGATTAGAATGGTGAAAAATTAAACTCACTACTATAGCCATAACAATCAGGGAAGTTCAAAATACAGGATCGAATGATGTATACATAAATTGGACAGTTTTTATAACTGTCTCTCATAAACAACGTGAGACTCGGCATATACATTATTTGTTATTAACGCTTACATGTATGGCTCAGTCTAAGAATTATTGACCCCACGGATTACTGTGATATTTTGGTTCGACCCCCTCACTTCATGTCAAGACTTGGTCAGACACCAACGCATCAGAAGTAATGAGATTTACAAGATAAGTGAAGTGATAGACATGTTTAACAACTTCAATACCTATCATTACTTGATGCAGACCAGCATTAAAATTTCTGAGAGACTAAATGAATGAGAAATGTGGGATAAAAATCAAACTCAGAATTTAAAGGAAGATGATGACTATTCCGGTAGTGTACCTGTATCCCATATCACCATGAGCTGACAATGAACTGGATTACTGGAGGAGACAAAAACCACCTTTTCTGAACGATTCAAATGTCTTTACAATTGGTCGTTTAATATTCGAATGAGGAGAGGTTAGAGTGGAGTGTCAACTTATGAGGTGATAACAGTGTTAGCCATAATCTATAATGAATCGACTGAATGTGAAATTTTCGACCGATGAATTGAATCTAAGTAGTTTAAATATATTAACTTCATTGTAAAATCTGAAAATTCAGCATTTAAGCGGTTCAACTTTTAACCAATAAGTCATAAGTTCCAATCATCTCTATTTGCCTTGATTTAGTCAACCTCGTAGTATAAGTAGCTCTGATAATTCAGAGAACGTATGGCTCGAAGTCAAGTACATGAATCTGTGTTGTACCTGGGGAAGCAATGAATCATATGTATAAAATACAAAAAATTAATGAGAGTATAATATGTAATCGAGTTGATGCATATATATGTATATATACTACTCACCATCGACAGCGTTAGTTGAGAAGAACGCCAAGTTCTTCGTCTCCAATGGATTTTCATTGGTATATTCTGCTGTACGTGATTGTGGCTCAGATTCACCAGTCAACGCAGAATTATCCACCTGAAATATGTGTGTTGGTTTTTTTAAGTTAAAAAGAAAAGTTTAAAATGTCGCCATAAATACAAAGTATATAGGAATATAAGATAAATTAAATCGACAAGAGAACAGACAAGCAGTTTGAATTACTACACTAATGTAACTCAACAATCTTCATAACCCTCCTAAAGTAATAAGGATAATGTGCTCACTACTAAGTTTTAGATGCAATTCAAAGAATTCTAGTGAGAAGCTCTGACTAGTGATTTTCAACTATGTCGGGTGTGAGACAGTTGTCCACCATAGGTAATGCAAAATGATCCCACGATGGGGCGAATTGATTGAATTTAAACTTGTACACCGCTGAACCACAAGTGATCGGTCTAGAAGTCAAACTACTGCGTGCGAGGCCAAAGTTTCTGAGTACCATCCCCAGTGGTGGGTCATGGATGCGCTGCATGATTGGAAGGTCCTTAATTTCAACCAGTGTATTGAGTTATAGGTAGGTGTGTTTACTGCTGAGTACGACACATAAACGAAAATGAGATAACCGATGATCAGTTCTATCTTGTTCTCCATGCAACTCTTCGCCTGACTTTAGTTAGAAGTGAAAAATTGCACAAAATCTTTACGAAGTTATAATTCAGTTGTATCGTTTGGGTTATATCCACATGAATTAGATCGCCTCAATATTTTCATCGGTTACAAAGATTTTGGAACACAGATAGATCATGCCCAACAGAAGAATGCAGGATACGCGTTTCATCCTATTTGAAACTTGTCAGCTGAATGTATCTGAACCAAAGTGTTAATGTTCACTTTAGGACTCAATAACTAAGTGAATAATGTGCTGGACGTTCAAATATCAGTGTGAACAACAACACTCAGATTCAGACACATCAGTCAGTCACAACGTAGAACCTAAACGTATGTATATCGATTTAAGTTCGAGAAGAAAATGTAAATTATTGAGATAAATACGGGAAAACTTTATGAGGAATTCGGAATCTGAATTCGAAGAAGACAAAGAATAGATGCACCTGAGACAGTCCAAACTATTTTAAGCCATTTCATTCAAAGTCTCTAACCACCGCTTACGGTCATCACACTGACAACAACCAGGTAGTCTACACGTATTAACATGATTAAGTCTGATTGTCAGTCACTTCACGAATTGATGTCATGTTTTGGTTTGACTGACCCTAACATTCATCAAGCCTAGTCCTACACCATAAAACATCGTCTGTCATGGTAGGTGGTGGTTGGATATACGTAACAAATGTCACAACCACCTTAGTTAGTGAAATTTTAATACCTCAAGCGATTTACAATTCTTACTGAGTATTCTATTTCTAATCCAGGCATTGGTTACTCTGTGGTCTCAAAACACATGAGCAATGCATCGTAGACACTTGTGATCGGAAACCAGTAACCTTAGAATATCCTCTATTCTTAATAGCTATGATTCATATCCATAAAGCGCAGTAAACTCGCTCTTTGGTTGAAAGATGAGTATCTCGCCTACGCCACAAATGATACAAACTGACAAAGGCCACTCAAGCCTTTTCAATTCGTAATGAGATCTTGCCAGACACTAGATAATCAGGACTGATGAGACTCCCAAGATAAATGAAGCGATCAATGCATTCAACTTTTTCGCACCCTATTAATAATACAGACGATGACGCAAGCCAATCCTGAAGTAGCATTTCGCATTTAGGAGAGAACTGTGGTGTATGTTACTGATGTTGACAGATATAGGTGGTATGTATCATCAATCGAAAGTGAAATATCTGGCGGAAGAAGATTAAGAAGGTCGAGGAAAAGAGAATGAGAACAGAGAATGCTTGATGTGGAAACGAAAGAACAATAAAGTCTGAGACGATTGATTAATATTTTGCAAATGAACTATTTACTGTATGGTTCTCAGATTTTACTGAGATTCTGTGTTTTAGTGTTGAAATACATTCGGTTGTACTCACTGATGTTCTCGTTCACTACAGAACTAAATTTTAAACATACTTGAATTGATGCTTAAAATGATCAGAACACTGAATTTTGTCAACAACGCACCACAGTAATTATGGACAAAGAAGAATACGTCAAAAAGGCCGAGGAACTACTTAAAGATAAGAGCACATATAAGCCCATTACGATGGAAAATAATTGAGCAAAGTGGAAGAAAAATGGTATACCTAATGATAACGGATGCACACTACTGGATCCGCAAATACCAACACGTCATAGAGGATTGAAAGATGAAGCTACAAAGGACACTTTTGCCAACATCTTTCATCAAATAGAACTATAAGTAAATCATCAACTGATAAGTGTCAAACATGACTTAATGCATTTCACTATTAATTGCATTGAACCATTAAAACTTTAATGATAAGTGGAGAGAGTTTATTTTAATCTTAACTTATCAACAACAACAACAACAAAAACCACCACCACCCCCACCACCACCACAACAACAACAACGACAACAAAGTATATATCTTAAAACTAGAATGAATGAAATTCGATAATACTCGATTATAAACTAACTGAATTCTTTATATGATATGATCTTATAAATGAAACTGAATCAAATTCTATCTATCTATCTCCATGTATATTTTTGTCAGTTCATTTCACTTGTGAAATTTTCTCCATGATACCCATTTATCAATAATTTAAACACTTGTTCAATTCCAATAAATAAATAATAATAATAATAATGGGTTATCTATATGTATGAACCAGTTTATACGCATCAATCGTTATTCAATAGTAATGGTTTATACAACCGATTATTTACAAAATCATCAATTTTGAGGACACATGAGAGTTAGTTAGTTAAGTTCAAAGGCGGAATGAAACGGAAGTGGCAAACTAATAAATATATATTCATGAAAATAAATATATATATATATATATATATATATATATATTTTAATAAAATACTTTACTATGATTTTCATAAGGAAAGAATAAGGGTATGTGTAACATTGATGAGGGGGGGGTGATGGTGATGGTGGTAACAATGGAAGGGTATTACATACAGCACATGATGTATATTCTTAATAAACAGTTCTTTAAGTAATAGTAATAGTAATAGTAGTGGTAGTAGTAGTAGTCGCCGTAAAAACGGTCTAAACGAGGTTGCTTGACCTAAAATACTAAATTACAATTAACAATAGTTATGAAGATATGATACATTTGTTTCATTGAAAACGTAATAACTAGATTAAAAACATTTAGACAATCTAATCTACATTGTATGATTATGCATAGTTAGTTGATTCTTATGAAGATTAATTGAAATAAAGACTAATTTTCATCCATAGGTTGATACAGTACCTAGAAAACTATTCCAAATGAATACTGTATTGGGAGATGGAATGCAATGTTGAAGAATAATCGTACTAGTTAAATTAGTAGGCTATGATGAATGTCGTTTTTATAGTGAAACTATAATTTGTGGACAACCTTTGTGCGACACTGAAGTAACCTTGCGAGTGTCCACCTAATAACCAGTAACAAATGAAGGTTATAAACTTGTGTAAAGAATTAGATTTAGGATTTTCATCATGAAATGATATTAACCATAATGTCAAAACTCTATTTAGCCAAATAGATGAGTAAATTTAGCGTCAAAATCCGAGACCTGTTATCTTATACCTGATTGGATCGTTCATAAATGATAGTCTCGCCTTATTTTCAACTATAGACTGATATGAGACTAAAGAACATATGAATTGTCGAGTTTGTGATTCTTTGAAAAAGGGTAACTAGATAACCATTTAAGTTGGGGTTTCTACAAAATATAAAGATATGTATATATTTTAATGGCCCTATATCTGACTCCATTTAGATCGTATGATGATTGTTATCGGAATACATTATATGCCACATTAGTGAATAACGGAATAAGTCAAATACGAGAATGAAGTTCAAATACGTATATCCCATAATTCATTGATTTAAACAGACAATCAAGGAAACGAAATGACGCGCAGTGAAGGCGAGTGAGTTAACTCCACTTATCGTTACTTTGATTCTCTGATTATCCATCTAGATGAAGGAGTGTATGCAACAATATATATATATATATATATATATATATATATATATCCCGATAACAATCATCATACGATCTAAATGGAGTCAGACATAAGGCAATTAAAATCGAAACACTATTAATCTTCAATCCACTTGGTATTGATTATTTGTATCTTCCCATTTATGTTTAGGACAGTAATTGACCAGTCTCTTATTGTACATACTGTGCGTTTTGCCTTGATATAGCCTTAATTCACAAGCATTACATGCAAAGATGGATTGCATGAGCAAGTGGCTATCATGAGTCAGTAGCTAAGTGAATAACAAGATGTCGTTTGGAGCGAACGGTACTTGGTTTAAGTCCCAGAGTAAACATCAACCATGAGATGCAGGTACACCCAGTTGACGAGTCTCAAATAGGACGAAATGCGCGTCCTGTATTCCACTGCTAACCACTATCCATCTTTGCATATAATACTATTGTTGTAAATGATGTCTTGAAAGTATTTTCTAGAAAGAAATTCTTTGATTAATTTATGAAAATGAAGTATGTAAACATATTATACATTGATAAAATTCAAAGAACTTTTACAAATCCTAAATTCAATCAATCGGTGTGAAGTAGTTGAAATTTACTGCTTTGTTTCATTGCTATAGTATATATGTCCAGGAATTTGTAATGTATCTTGCTTTCAAATGTACAATATCTAGTTCATTTAGTAAGTGAAAAACATAATTTGGCGAGACTACAGTTTATGGACGAATCAATAAGATGTAAGATAACTGATCTTGAATTTCGGCTCGAAATTCACTCAGCCATTTGACCAAATAGCGTTCTGGCATTTTAGCTAATGTCAGTTCATGATGAAAATCCATAAATATAATCCCTAACTCTAACCATCAATTGTAAATCATAATTCTAATTCTTCATACCCTCATTTAGCCCTAGTAAATAAGTAGACAATCTCAAGGTCACTTTGACGTCACCGAGAGGTCATCCATAGATTACAGTTCCATCAGATGCCCTTCAGTGTCTTATTCATAGAAAACATGTGTAAATAACTCTAAATGAGTAGAATGAAGTCCTCAGTGAAAATTACACTTCTATATAGTTTTAGTTATTTATTTATTTGGACACATAAATATTGGTACAAGAGAGCACCAAATATATATGCGCCACACCATATTTGTGTGTGTGGGCTGTGATACTGCCCGGGTGCCCAAACCGAAGCAGGTGGTTTTCTTAGGGGGCCACACTCCGAGACTTTGACCTAAATTTCTAACCCACGAGGCAGTGGAGCATCGTGATAAGATGCAGTCTCATGGTAGCCGGTGGTCAAAAATTGTTTCATACGCCATTTGTTCCTTCAGGATACTGGAGCCCATGTACACCATTGGTTTGGGATCCGATTAAAGCGCCGGACATTCGATTTTCATCCTCTGAATTTCGTAAACAACACCCCCGCCACGAGAAGGCAGTGAGTAGGACTTCCCTGGCAGAGGCTGTATACGTGTGGCCGTGTGAGAGCATTTCGAGAGGGGAGGCAGGCCCACCCCACTCTCAACCATACCAGGGTATTTGGGGGCTCTATATACAGTACCGACTAAATGAATGATGAAATACATTACAGTATTATTAAATATTACACTTGCTAAACATTGGATAGTCATCTTTCGATTCAAACACTGAATTAGTATCACTTAACTTCACACACACACACAAACACACAAACAGAATAAGTCAACTGATCCGCTTCATTCAATATTTTTATATGATTGAATAAATTATGAAACAGTTATAAGACAAAGTAAACTGAATAATTGTGAAATATAAAACATTGATGAAGAACAGTAGGTATGGCCGTTTTTTTTTATTTATATATTTTGTCCTAGTTTATTGTCTATACGTTTATGATTCCAACTTATTTCAATATGAATGCAGTAACAACTATTATACAGTATATATATATATATATATACACTTATATTTAAATATTCAAGTGTATATAAAAAAGGAGTTATTCTATTAGAGTCTTTGATTTAGGCCATAGCAACAATAATCACATAAGAAATAGATCATGTAACCTGTATTTGTTTTTACTTCTGTTACAATGTCCTTATCAATTTAACAATTCACATGTTGATATTCTATTAAAAATGTATCTACTATTGATAGTAGACCTGAATAAAACTTAGTTTTTTTTTCAGACTATATCTAACTAATATATAGGAGTTATCATGTAAGACTTATATACTTGTCTTTTCTTTTTTGTTAATACAGTTCAACACTACATTTGATAATTTTTATAACAAATGGAAATAATTGAATCGTGGATGAGTACTGCTGAAGAGTCCCATACTGGGACGAAACGACTGTCCAGTATTTTCAAGTGTTTAATGGTAATTTAACTTAGATCGACTCATGAATTCAACTATTAAAATTACTATAATCTCCACTTATTCCTATACTAATAATAATCTTAAATAGTCATTCATTTCACTAATGTATATTTGAGCAAGACCAATTTCATTGGGACATTCAGTTTATTCATATAACATTAAATGTTTATTTCAATTGTGAATCTTTGGATCAAATGTTGCTTCTACAACCTTTTGCATGAATGAATAATTACTAAAAAAATTCACGGATTATTCGAAGTTAAGTGGTAATATAATAAGTATGGGTGTCTATGTACATCACTTCGAACCATTCTGTTTGTACGAGACCCAGTGAGACTAACCGAATGAACATACTGTACAAAAATAGAGGTCAGTCAGCGACAACGTAGAACTACGTACGGACGTACATTAGTTTGAGTTGCCATACCACATTAGCACAGAGATACAATTGTCGATTGAAATCCCATAATGGCAAAGGTAGTAAAAGTATAAGCAGTAATCGGAAAGATTAGGGTTTGAAGATGTTATTCAAGGAGTATAATCCAGTGAAATAAATTTGAAGACAGAAAAAAGAAAGGGACATGAAGAATTCAGAAGATTATAATTTGGGAGAACACAAAGAGTGTATGCACCTGCGCCATTGCAAACGATTTTGAGCTATGTCATTCAAGGTCCTTAACCATCGGTTGCTATCGTCTCGCGGATCCCAACCAGGTAGTCTACACCTACCAACATGTCTCAGTCCACTTGTCAGTGATTTCATGGACTTGTGCCATGTTTCGGTCTGGCCGCCCCTAGTTTTCTTCCAACCTACTCCTACACCATAAAACCACTCGTCGGGGTAGTCGGTGGTTGTGCATACGTAGCGCATGTCCCAGCCATCTCAAATGATGTAGTTTCACTACTTCATCAGTTGATTTGCCATCCTTACCTAGCACCCGTTCCCCACCAACTGCATTACTTATTCGGTGGTCCCAGGATATACGAGCGATGCTTCGACGAGTTCGAACTCGTCACTTATTGTATAAAAATTCAGTGAGTTACTCATTAACCCATATATTGAAATACACTGTTTGTCTTTCTTTGCACTATGAGCTTACAATCACTTTCTTTCTTCCTGTACTATATCCTTATATGTAATCTTTCTTTTATATATTACCACCACTGAATTAACTGTTTCTATGAATTCGGTGTTCATCTTGTTGGGCAAATGAGGTATGGAAACTTGGACCGATGCACATATGTGCCAGATCTTACGTTGTAGCTGACTGACTAACTATTATGTAAAATGGATAATTTAATATTAAAGACTAACATTTATATGACTTGTCTGAATATCATTCATTATAGACAGGAAATCTTTTCATATACATGTTTCTTTTTATACAAACTAATTTCATTTCATATTCTACATTCAAAAAAGTAAAAAAGCAAACTCCAGCTTTAAATGACAAACATATTCAGGATGTTTTTTGAGAGGAGAAGAATTTATAAGAATTCAATTAAATCATTAAGTAAACTAAGAAATTTCATTGGAATCATGAACTGATCATATTTATACAATTACTGAATATCTGGAAGGATTGAACGGTCATTACTTCCTGGTATAGGATATTCTTTTTTCTAGTATGGATTGGTTTATGATTTTGAAGAAATTCAATCATCTTCACAACCATTTACTAAAAATTTATACCAAATTCCTAATAAAAATAACACTCAAATATTTAAAATGTACAAGACACATATATATATATATACTCACCTTGAACGAACTAGCTGAAATGATTCTTATATCTGCTGGTACACGATCACCACACTTGACGTCGATTAAATCACCAACTACCAAAGCTTCGGCTGGTGCTTCAATTTTCACTCCACCACGAATAACTAAAGCAGTCTACAGGATAAAAAACCATACCAATGGTAGTGATTACAGTTTTTATCATTATCTTTAGTATATATATATATATATATATCCTATGAAAACCTTGTGTGTTAGTTACGTAACCAACATCAGATTTAGATAAACTTGTGTAGTATGGTGATACTTACGAGTATTAGTTGTTTGCTTTGAATAAAGTTAGTAAAAAGACTGTATTGTATCACTATGAATAAGATAAGCTTCAGTTAACAACCATTTTATTGTAATCAAAGTCTAGTTTTGTTAATCCAATCTATTTATTTATTTTTATTTAACATTAGTTACCTTTATTCGTACGACTTTACATACATTTGAAGAAACTGGAAAAAAGCCCATTTAAAACAACAATTACATATGTACTTATGGTAATCTCATGATATATCCTGTGATTGACTTTAAGAACACTTGATTAATTGGATTGCCAAATCTAATGGAAATTTTAAGTCAGCCACAAATGTAAGTTAGCCCAAACTATTAGTACCGTATTAATATGATGAGATGAGAATAAAATGATGAATAGCAAACGATTCCAAATAATGTAGTAGCAATGATAATGAGTAAAACTAAGCATGGTGAATATTGTTCGAGAAAACGGTATCAAAAAGCATGTATCAAAAAATCCTAAAACGTCTTCAACCACAGCGTGTAACACAGAGAAGACTGCTGGATGGCTTAACCACTTTATGTTCAGCGACCTGACAAAAAGTGAATACTTGTTCAATTTATCAATATCCGGGTGTTAAGCCAGCCTGGGTTTCCCCAGTTTTGTGCTGCCAAGTACCAGGTGAGTGTCGGATAACTATAAAGGCTAATGTATAAGCCAAACTAATTCCTTTGTAGTTATCGGTAGATGAACTTGAATGATCGGCGATTGAAACCATTGAAATGGGATTGTGTAGAGCTAATATATCAGTCAACTTAACTGATGAAAGACTAAAAAACTTCACTGATATAATTGCGTCATAAAATATATAGAGGTGTCATAAAGAGGTACTGACCAAAAATCTGATGAGCGAAATAAAGAAATTTAACCTATTGAAGTATTACTAACAACTATGTTAATCAGTATCATTGACTTACCTGGGGAATCATTTTTTTGAACGATTCCATAATACGTGATGACTTTGATTCTTGGTAGTATGAAAAACAACCGGTGACCACTACGACAACTGATAATACAATCCCAAGGTAAAGCTTGAAAAGACAAAAATACCATCTTAAGAAAGAATAATAAATTACACAGTAATAAGTAATTCGTCTGTACTTACTTTCATATATCTACAAAATGTAATGACAAAAAATATTTTTAAATGCTCTGTGAATAAAACCCACATTATTATCATTATCACTATTTACTCTTTCGAGTCAATGAAGTATGTGTAGAATGCAGTGAACCGATAAAAATACCGTCCCCTTTATACATTTTTAACTAGTTGTCCTACTATACATTGAATATCTATAAGGAAAAATGTGTAATTGAGTTATAGATTACAAACGGTTTTCAGAATACCATAAGAAGAAGCAGTGAACAACAAAACCTGACAATTAGCTGAGACACCGAGGACAAAGTACTTAATCTACCAAACAAACAATACACAAAGGTTTTCTATCTTACTATATAGTGATCTAACTATGGAGTTAAGGTAGACCATTGTACAAAGATATGTTTTGTTTTGGGTAAACTATACTAGGTTTGAAGAGCAGCGGCACAGAAACTCGACTGAAAACAAAATGAAGATACCTATTTGGAACTCAATGATTGAGTATGACCGACAGATACAAAATTAATTTCTTAAAATCCACTTATGAATCATAGGATATGACTTCCAATGTTGAACTTCGCACATCAATTTTGTACAATCAATATTACATCGCAAATAATAAAACTAGTCCGCCCCAGTTAGAAACTTTAATAAAATAGACTGCTAACAAGTAAATATGACTGGGTGAATTAAAACAATAATAACAAAATAGTACCACATTAAGCAATGTGATGAAGGCTGTAAGGATACCGAGACATTCAGCAAACTAAGAACAGTGCTAAGGGTATTCAGTTGTATGGGTTTAACAAGCTTATATTGTCTCTAAGCAAAGTAGGGTTTCTTTATGACTATTATGAAGAAGTACTACTCTCCTTAAAGTTGTACGATTGAGTTTTAATTATTTAATTTCAGAAAATTTCCACTCGCACTAATAACTTCGTACGTCATATTACTTTAAATCTTTAAATGTCTACTACAACGACCTCAAGTTAAGAATAGTTAATACTTATTTAGATTACTACTTATTTTATTTTAAACCAAATGACTGGAAGGAAATTATACCAAAATAAAGTCATACTTATAGACTATAACCTATATTATTCATCCTGTATGCTTTGTCAGTAGTCAATCATTAACCATATGAAATTGAAACCGTTTATTTATCTCGAAATAATATTCAACTGGAAGCAAACAAATTGTTAAAAAGAAATTAAACAGACTAAGTGGCCAGGGCATTTGACTATTGACCGAAAGACCTCGGGTCCGATCTTTGCTCCTTTTACCTCAGATTAGGTAGCCGGATAAAATCACAAGCAATTACACAAATATGGCTTGCGACGGAATAGATAAGCTTATACTTTGTAAATGGGTTAGCTAAGCAAAGTGAATATAATGAAACCCAGGTGTGTCAAGAGGATATGGAAATGAAAAGTCGACATACTTTGGTGAGAAATAATTACTTGTTATTTAAAAACGGTTAGTAAAGTTATTCCACCTCAAAGTAATGGGCACTCAGTCGTTCAAACTGTAAGAAACAAAATGGAATCTGAGATAGGAGTCAGAAGACTGAGAGTATTTGAAACATTGAGTTACAGGTAGTTAATAGAGTATATAAAGAAATGTCTCATATATAAATTACAATACTATAGGGTTCTGGGTAGTGTTAACAAACAAACGGCCTGGATGTTTTAAGCAACCAGTTGATCACCGTTTTTTTCAAATATGACAAAGATAAACGATTTTATCAATTATTGTCATCTCGCATTGAAAAGAAAACATGGTGCAAAGGGTTGCTTAAATATCTTCACTCACCAGTGTGAGCAGATAGAAACACAGAAACAAATGATAAGAGACGTTTCGATAGACTTCATTCAGAATCAACTAACATTTAGATACCCCTGGTAAAGTACACAATAGTAATCAATACCAGTAGTTCCACAGCTCCTCAATCATCTTACTCCAACTAGTAAACAATGTATATGTTTTCCATTTTTGTATGCATAAAGAAATCCTGAGCATTAGATTATCTAGTGTACATGTAAAATAGGTTAGTTTACAGGACAGCTTAATCACAATTCAGAACAAGCATAGACAACAAGTACTGATGATAAGAGTACTCGAATTTGTATTCTCTGATAAATTATGGGTGAAACAATGTAGATTTCAAACAAAAAAATAATACAGAACTATTATCGAAAATAAACCGAACTTACATTATCTTTTGGTGGATCTTCATGAGTGCCACTTTCAATTGAGAAAGCAATAAAACAAAGAACGGCACCAATCCATAACAATAATGAAAAGCCGCCAAATAATGTTTTACAGAATTTCACCCACTCTGGCGTTGTCTTTGGAGGTGTAAGTGCATTTGGTCCATCCCGTTCCAAACGAGTCCTTGCAATAAAACAAGGAAATATATCTGACTTACTTGGCCTGTTCAGCAGTCAAGCCACTCTGTGGATCGGTGGATAGTCGAGAATACAACTCATCGAGAGATATCCGATGCTCATCCATGTCCAGCTCCTGTTTCAGTTCATTTAAGTCATCCTTCTTCGGGTTTTTCTTCGACTTTTTTTCAGTAGCCATTCGGTAACTATCGCCTCGCTGTGAAAATCACGGATAAATTAGTTTTATGAGAATTTGCACGGAACGAGAGAAGATATTGAATTTTTTGAATAATTTAATAAATGACTTATCACCATAAAACTTACGGCATTCGGAACACCCATTTTTTATATTGTGACCCAAACGAAACCCAATATTTAACTGTGCGCTGGTGTGAAGAAGTAAATGTGATTGGAACAAATGGTGCATCAAAACAAATCTGTTTCAGTAGAAACAATATATGAAGCTCTGTCATTTAACATGTGTGAATGGTGTTTTCCGTGGTAAATGACCAGATTTAGGGTGTTATCTGAATTCTATATTATACTGTTGAATTTGCCCACTCCTGTTAATACACTTCGAAATTCAGATTACAAGCTTCCATTGACAGAATTGGTAAAATGTTTGCCGAATTATATTTATGCCTGTAGAGTGATAGTGCGTTTTGGATTCTCAAATGATATTACTCATGTCATATTCCTTAAAAAACTTAAGGGCATTACAACTCGTTTTGTAAGCCTAGACATGATAGTATAATAACACGTGGGATAACCAACACAATTAACGTCGGTACTAAAGCCAACCTCAAGTCTCCCTTTCAGAAAGTCTAATAAGGCTTCAGTTGCTGTGGCTTTAACTAGGGAATTCTACAGCTTGCTGACTCCAACAGTGAAGAAGTTCACATGACTCTTTTAGCTAGCTTTTTAATATTTTATTTGAAGTGGATGTCCTCTTTGAGATAAATAATTGCTAAAACATATCGGTTGTTTATATATATGGGATGAAAGATTGGCTACGGGAAAGTACTCTTCAATGATGTTTAAAAATCTCGAGATACTGCAACCATTCTCCACGACCTCTCACCCTGCGAGATTAGAACCCAGGACCTACTGGTTTTGCGCGCGAGCACTTAACCACTAGACCACTGAGCCGGCATCCAATGGTGTTAATGTCTAATATCAACTAATCCACGAAATTGAGCGACACATCCACCATTCGTGGATTAGTTGAAATTAGGCATTAACACCATTGGATGCCGACTCAGTGATCTAGTGGTTGAGTGCTCGCACGCGAAACCAGTAGGTCCTGAATTCGAATCTCTCAGAGGGCGAGGTCGTGGATGCGCATTGCTGATGAGTCCCACAATAGGACGAAACGGCCGTCCAGTGCTTCCAGGCTTTCCATGGTGGTCTAGCTTCAATTGACTCATGATCTTAACCATTGAGATTAATAATAGGTTGCATTTCTTAGTCTGTCTCAGGAATGTAGAATTGTGGTCTGGGTCGGTTTTAGTACACTTATCTATGGCATCTGAATAATGGACTCAATCCAAAATTTTAGACTTCCCATGATGTGGGTGTTTAATCTATGAGATCTTACATGGAAATCATGTCATTTCCCATACTGGCTTGTCCTATCGTGATAGCTAGTCGTTGTTGCTTAGGTCTCCTAGAAAATACATTTGGCCAGGGAAAAGAGTAGTATATTGAACATGAAAAGAAGATCCACAACTTTCTATTTAACTTTGAAGTAGAGCTGGATTCTCCAAAAATCCGGACATAAAAAAGGGTGGCGTACTGAACCGAGCATTCGTTTATTCGAAACCTTTTTTTATCGGTAAAACAAAATTTTCCTGTTATTTGACGTGTGGCAGTTCGGAATAACACGCTAACAACTTTGTTTATTGTGCAGTAACCGTACAAATAAATACTGTTTTATCCAGTGAAGTTCGGGTCTGCTGGAACTACAATTTATTGCCGGTGTGACTATTAGTTTAAGCAGATAAGGTTTAAATTTTGCATATCCATAAGTGAAACATTAAATTCTCATCCTTCCCCATAGGTTTTTTATTGTAGGATTTAGTATGGTCCTAAACACAAGAATTATAAATATGAATTACCTAGATAAATGGAACTTAAAGGTTTTACAGGCAGTATAGTTGTTTAGGAAGATCGAACAACCCGGTTTACATTATCAGTAGGTAAACTGGTAAGCGACATGATAATTAGCAATCAAGGAAAAAGAGGTTTGTTCGTGTCAACGAAGAAACACCATCCCGTCTTTTTTGGATCAAACGAAACAATTAGTTCAAAATTAAACAATCTCACTGGTGAAAACCAAGATGCAGGCCATAACGTTATAAGCCGAGGAAGGAAAAATTGATCTAGGCCATGAAGCTTCACTGTGACGAAAGGAGTACGTTTTAAACTAATCCAAAGTTGGAAAAACTCTTATTGATTAACAGATACCAGGTAACCATGTATCAACGAACCTTTCTTGTTTTTAAAGTTATTGTGTGCTACAAAAAACCTTTAAATGTATAGCACAGGCCGTGCCGTCTGCGATATTTTGTACTTTTGATATGATTTGCTTTTTATTTTAAACTAGATCAGATCGAATTAAGAAAAGTGTTTATGTTTGATATGACTGAAAAACGCATCGTACTTTACACAGAAGAACGTAGTTTTGGTTTAATGGCACAAATTTTTTTCATTAGCTTTCATCCGGACAAAATGCTAGAATTTTGTTCGATACACGCGCTGTTAGGTGACACACTAAGCAAATCAAAAGTGTAATTAAAAGTGGACAATAAGAGTCCTATCTAAGACTAGAAATTTAACAGAATTTCGAACTTAAAAAGTCAAAGTAACAACTTTACATTCTGCACTAAGAACAGATCTTCATTGATAATAATAATGATAATTGTTGCAAAAAATGTACAGGGAGGGATTTCCACAAAAAAGCTGCTAGAAGGGATATGTTCTGGTTACTGGTGAACATTCTGTGGGATTATGCCTAGTAATTAAAGTAATAATAAAATTTTATACTTGTCTAGGTGGAAAATTCGTATTTCGGTATGAACAGAATACAAGGTCAATCATTACTGTTTGCAATAAATAGTTGGTGATAATGCTGATGAAAATAGCTGGAGGCCCCTGTCACTAAGACAACTAGCTAGTAACAACAGACTATACTGGTAAGGATATTTGGTTCTATAAAACAAAGTTTCTGTTGATAGCTTGTGAAGTGGTGGACATTTTATGACTCGACATTGCCTACCAGTTAAACCATTGTCTTGAGATATATTTTTGTGCATTATCGGGTTTACTAACCGTTAATCACAGGGTTAGTGATATGCCTTATGTCACTCATTTAGAAAGTAAAAGAAAATATCAGTTCTGTTGTCTACATAGAATCTCACTCGTGAGAACTTAAGGGGTAAGGTCAACCCAGTTGACATCAAAGAAACATGGTATTTTTTACTGTTCAACAGTTGAATACAAAATAACATATACATAAAGCAAAATATAAAGTAACTTTTAGCTCATATTCGGACCCTTTCTTTCCGATATCAGTTTTCAACATCTGACTCTTCCAATCAGCCACTTAAGGAACTCTGCTAAGAAATATCATCAAGGGCGACAGTATATGTCTCCGGACAATATTTTTGATTAGACTTGTAAAATCTCCAGATGTTCTGTGTGCAGTTGGATATGTTTAGTGTTCTGAAATATATGCACCTAGAAGAAGTTGTAACCTGACTACATTTCTGAACACAGAAAATTATTGAATAGAATAGTTTTACAACCCGACTTTACAAAAATAAGTTGGGTATTTAAAGTCTCTCTATACAGTGACCAGATTGGTGGATAGTTTTGGTGAACAGTGAGTTATTTGTACCTGATTCCTAGCATTTTACGAATTCCAGAGACAATACGTTCATTAATGTTTATCTAGTTCCACAAGTCGTTCTAAACACGACGTTGCCATGTTAACCTAGTGTGTCGCAAGCCGGAATAATGGTCATATTGACGTTCATGTAGTCATTTAATTTACCATATTATAATGTATTTTTTGTTAAAAACTAGTCTATGCCGTGAATTTCGTTGTGGCTTTAACTTTTATTTGTTACGTCTGACCGCGTTACACTGGACATGCATCGCTTGCTGGGATGTTATCCCAAGTCATAGTAAGCCTAATTAAATCGTTGTTTGTTTAAGTAGACAGTCAATGAATAATGTTCTACTTGCTGTGAATTGCATTATTTCAGAAATTACTGATTACTACATTCTTTTGAATACTTCTAATCATCATATTGACGACGCGATGGAGCCTGTAATTAGACAGTCGGATACACATTGAAATTCGAGGACTACATGGTTATGTTTGAAATCTGAAGTGTGACCAAGTAGGATGTTAAGAATGATATGACTGTGGCTCAATTCCTTACATTCTTCGGAAAGGATGTTGGCAGCTTACTAAAATCCTCGGTATTCTCAGATAAGCCTATTCCACTTCCTCAAAGTATTGCTGTTAAATCATGTAAAGTATACTAATTTCGAATGGCGTAAGTGAGCAAATGTCATAGAATTATTCGTCAATATAACCAAAAGATTAAAGAATTCATCCTTGAATTGCTAAAACAAGCGGCTAGGTGTAATTTTGGAGATCAAATTCATGTGGAACTGCGTGATGGGTTGATTGTAGGAATTAACATACGAAATTTGGAAAAAGATCTTATGAAAGTGCCGAAGTATTCCTTTCAAGATGGTAGAAACGTGTGTATCATTTATGAGGCGATGCATTAAATTGACTTCCATAAAATCACGAATTCTACTTCATAGCTAAGTTATCTTAATCCGAAGCATACTTACGGTCATATAAGTAGGCGTTTAATTGATGTTAACCGTCCTCTTCGTGAAATCATTGGTAAGAATACATTTATGTGTTGCAAAGCAGATTACAGATGTGAGAACAGGTTTGTGTGATAATTAGAAGTATTTGAATTATAGTACGAAATAAGGATCCCAGAAATAACGAAATTGGATCAAGAAGTACTAAACAAGCACTAACTAATGTATTATATTTGGAAATGGAAATCAAGCATTCAACAAGTACAAAGTAATCATCAGTTCATTCAAACGCCAAATCCGCTACAGCTTAAACTAGAGTCTTGGTGCCTGTAATCAACTGTACATCTTCTCAAGTTCAACCTGGGTCTGTTGGACAGTGTATTGGACAAAAACTCTGTATTATCTAGAATGTAGCCGTCAGCATTAATAGTAATAATAATAATATATTTCTGCATTAGCAGGTACACGCCATTTTTACAGGCATCATCTATAAACTACTCATCTATAGATTTGAATTAACAGCCGAAATTGAAACACACTCGCCTGGTTCCTGGAATTGTATTTGATCAACAT